TCCGTGGCTGTGTCGACAGAACGGATTGTTGTCAGGTCATTCCTGCGCCTTGAGGACATGTTGCGTGGACCTTACCCCTCACAGCCTGTTGGAAGGTTCAGGTTAGAACCAGGTTTAGGCCAGGGACAGGGCCTAGGGGATCCATTTGCACTGAGTTTGTGTATTTCTGTGTGTTAACCCTCTGCAGGGTTTTCCTCAATGACGGTGTTGATCAGTGTGTGACAGGCAGAATGTGCTACTGTCAGACACACTGCAGGAGGTGTTTCACATTCATATGCATGTGTTCAGTCTCTGCAGCGTTACCTAGAATAATGTTGGGTGTTTAGCTGATGGCCTCCAAACAGGGTGTCGTGCCCTGCAGAAAGCTCATCATACCTGCTGAGAACCAGCTGTTTAGTCTTTCCCATCTCATACTGGATGAGTCTTTGTCCCTCACTCACTAACAACCGTGCCCTTTATCAGACAGCCTCAGGCCTTGAGGCTCTGTTTTCCTGTGGTTTTGAGGGGCGGTGAAGTCTTCTCTCTGCCGTCTGCATGTGACAGAGCATCAGACGGCAGAGAGATGTCAAGTCATTTTTTACATTTCCCAGTATCAGAAAGCCTCAAGGAGCTTTACAGTCTGTGCAGCACAAGACTCCCTCTGTCTTTAATCCCTCAAATCGGATTAGGAGCCAAAAAAAACCTTGAACAGGAAAAAATTGAACAAACTCCAGGATGAGCATCAGAGACAGGAAGTGGAGCAGCATAGAAGATCAGCAGTACAGACCACTGACTGTATAAAATATGGACGCCGTGACAGTTCATGGAGGGGAAGCCACAGCAAGCCAATTGCCCCCTGGTGGCTGGTTGCAGTATAGGTCATAAACCCGCCTCCTCCCATGTTAGTGGATGGGACATGAGCCAACCCAAAAACTCAAAGTACAAATCAGGTGAATTCTCCCCAGAGGTCACTTGTGTTTTTTGGTAGACATTGGCACACTGATGTGTGAACAGGTGGCCGTTTTTCTGGTAAGGTTGTTTGTAATGAGTTATTTGGTGACATTAAGAGGGGTGTATTTGACAGCTTTAGTTGGTGGTCTGATATCACAGATCCACTTCCTGTTGTTGCTGTGCAGATATCAGCTGCTGTGTTCACCATATTTTGGCTTCACTTTGCAGTGTGTATGTGTGTGTGTACATACACACACACATCCACACAGAACCATGGAGTGGTAATTCTAGTTGATTTTTGGCTCTAGTGGATGTTGTGACATTGGTTTAAGCCACGATGTGTTGGACAGTGTTTGTGTCTTCTCTGAATCTCCAGTTTTGTGTGTCTGGCTTCAGATGCCTTCTGTGTGTGTGGTTTCTGTCTCAGCTGTCTGGACTTTCCTCCTCTCTGTTAAACTTTTTCTCATCAGACTCTTTAATTTTCTGTCTGGGCCAAAGGGAAACTGTTAGCAGGTTCCTTCTAATGCTGACCTATGTCAGCCCTTCCCAGATGAATCTGTCGGCTTGATTCGGTCAAGTTTACCAACTCTGCTCGGTCCTGAATGAGATCCTGCCCTCCCTCTGTCCTCTCAGCTTTAAATGAAGGCTAATGTATCATGTCTCAGGCTGCTCCCTGTCTGAAGCCTCATCTCACTCCTTATCCTCTTTACATTAACAACTAAAATATGAGGAGCAGCTGCTTTCAGGTAATTTCCTTTATAATTAATTGAGCCAAATTTCACCAGACTTTTTGGGAATCAGTCTAATAATTAATAGTTAAATAGCAGCTAGTGTTTTAGGAGATTGTGAGGAAAGTTTCCAAAAAAATTCACTGACTTCATCCACTCTGCACCACCTCCTTCCTTGTCATCATCACTGTCACTCTCCTGACATGTAATTGGTTGAGCCAGGACACAGGTGGTCAGTCAGGGACAGGCCTGCTGTAAACAGAGGACAGGATTCAAACCACGGATATATAAAGCAGAACTGGATACTGCCTTCAAAGATGGCAGCTCCTCCATTCCTGTGAAAGTTGCTCAATTGGTTCAAACTCCAGAACGTGTCTGCCATGTTAGAGCGGCCTTCCACGCGCCTGAAAGGGTCAGAGTTCACTGAGAAGCACTGAGATCAGTTCTGTTGTTGCAGGCTTTAATATTCTGGCCCGGGTTCCATCATGTGGTCACATGGAGAGAAAGTGAAGACCCCTCCTTTCTGTCCTGTTTAATGTCTCTCATTGATGTGAACAGTTTTTGCCCATTTCAGTCTGTCTCCAGACCTCGTCCCGAACAGGCGGCGCTCCCTGTGGGAAGATGTTCTGCTTCTCACTTGTGTAAATCACCCCTGAGCACGACTGTGCTGCTGTGTGTTTGTAAATGGTCACACCTGAGGAGGTGGACACACACCTGATGCTGCTCCTGTGTGCAGTGTCTCCTCTCTCTCTCTTCATTCTCCATCAATCTCACTTTATTGCGCTCCTGCTTCTTGCTCCACTGCTCTCTTTACATTTGTCATCATTATCTCTCTCTCTATATCTTCGTCTCTCCTCACATGACTTATCTCCTCCTCTCCCTCTCCTACACAGTCTGTACTGAGCTGTTGTTTACATGGCGTTAACGTGACCAGCAGGGCCAAAAGAAATGCTCAGAGTAAACATGTCGCATTCGCATGTTTTTTACCGATTAATGAATGTAGCATATAAATGAAATATGGAAATGTATCGGTTACATGTAACTGTTTGTTGTTGTTGTTGTTGTTATGGTGTTTTTCACTGCACACGATCATTTGGACAGTGCACATCTGGTGTATTATCAACCGGATTAGAAGAAACAAGATTATTAAATACGTTATCTGATGAAATGTTTAATTACTGAATAGAGAGAAATAAAAACAGATGTCTTCACCAAACTAATTGCTTCAACAGATTCAACAGGGGATTTAAAGGATATATGTGTTCAGATTTTTAAGAAACTGCTGTCAGTTCTGTCTCTAGTCTGATGTGAACACACAGACATGAAACACGTCGATCTGACTCAGTGTGACGTCCACTTCCTGAGGACGTCACTGTCTCTGATTTCCCTCCACAATAAACCTCCATAACCCCCCTTGAACACCAGAGGAGCAGAGGCTGCAGAACCTGGCTGCTCCTTCCTGTTTCTAACTCTCCTTCAGTGTCACAGTTGTGTGGACGTCCACGGGGACACTGCACACAGCAGCTGCTCGTTCTGCTGCTGGCAATGAGGACTAGTTTGACTACGTGTGAACAAGTAGAGGCTAAAAGAAACTGGGGCTGCAGACGGGATTCACTACCCCTGTGTCTGCTTCAGTCTGAGGTGGTTCACTCCGCTCTCCCTCTATGCCGGCTCGTCTTCATCCCACATGTGAACGCTGTCTGTTCACGTAACAGCGGTGACCTTTACATCCCAGAGCAGGTGTGTCAGCTCCACAACACACCATAATAGCAGCTGCTGTCCACAAACAGAGCAGTTGCCTGGGAAAAGGTCAGGATCCACATGGTCTCTCAGCTGAAGGCCAAACCAGCTCCACAGCATTGAACGTTTTGTCAGTGCTGTGGTTTAAAGTGATGCAAAGTGCTGGCAGCAGCTCGGTCTGCTCCAACATCAGACTGTTGCTCAACATTTTCTTCACGTTTCCTCTGTTTGTTGTTTATTTCACAGACTGTTAAACAGCATTTTGTTGGACACCAGATCTAATTCTCTGCTTGTCTCCTCTTTTTCCATCTGTTTGTTCTCCTCACATAATTATCTCCTCACCTTCTTCGTCATCTCCTAAATCTTTTTCCTCTCCTCTGTTCCTCCTTCAGCTTCTCTCCTCCTCAGTCACTTCTTCATTTGCCTTCTCTGCTCTCCACTTCTTCCTATTTGTGCTTTTCTTTGATCCTCTCCTCCTCCTTCCTGTCTCCTCACCTATCCCACTGCATCTTCTGTCCTCCCCCTTCCTCTCATCCTTGTCCCCTTTTCACCTCCTCCCTCACCTGCTTCCTACCCATGGTCAGATTTTATTTCCCTTATCACGTGGGATTACAAAGCCCTGATACACATTCAGACATTAAAAACACAACAAGACTTTTCCTGTAGCACATTTACAGAATCAGAACATTGTATCATATGTATTTCTGAATACTGTCAAATAACATCCGTCCATCCATTATCTAAACCGCTTATTCCTGAACAGGGTGGAGGGGGCCCTAGAGCTAATCCCAGCTGACACTGGGCGAGAGGCGGGGTCCACTCTGGACAGGTCGCCAGTCTGTTGCAGGGCTGACATGTAGACTGTCAAATAACATTTATGTGCAAAATCCTGAATAATTTGTTCACAGAAAAAAGAAAACTAACCTTACAAGCCTAAAACAAAGAACTTCTTTTCACCAAGATCCTCTGACTTGTTTATCCCAAACACTGACAGCAGGGTGACTGGTCAAACCACCACCCAGCAGGGTCGAGTCTCCAGAGCAGCGTCAGGTCTCCTTAGTCGGAGGAGGAAACCTCCTACTTCCAAACCAGATCCCCTCACTGTGTCCAACCCACTGTGTCCGACCTGCTGTGTTGACCTCATGAAGCCATTCAGTGACCTAAAGCTGCAGCCATGAGTCAGTTCACTGGTAGAAAATTAACCGCCAGCTATTTAGAAGCAACAGTCACCGACATGTTCTGGTTCCACCTTCTTTAATATGAGGAGCTGATGCTTTTCTTTGTCAGACATAAGAATCAGCTGAGTCTCTGTGGATCTGCTGGTTGGACACAATGAGATGCCACCTTTGGTTCTGGAGAGTCACAGTGGGACTTTTTTTCCAGTGTCTGACATTCTGGGAGTAAACTGATCAATCAGATAATCAGAACAATCATCAGCTGATTGATCAGTGACCCTGCTGTTTGTGCTACCCCTTAGTCAGCCAGGAGTTTCCTCTCAGCTGCCACCAGCTGTAGCTTTCTCTTTAGCAGCTGAGTCCAGTGAGCCTGAGTCGGGATGTTTCACTGCTAACCTGACTCTTTGCTGCCCCCTATCTGCTGCAGAGCGTTGGTGTGAGCGGTATGGAGACCTGCGGGGGGAGCTGCTGTGTGTGGAGCTGGAGAAGGATCGGCAGGGCCTGGGTCTCAGCCTGGCGGGAAACAGGGATCGCTCCCGTCTCAGCATCTTTGTGGTGGGGCTCCACTCTGGAGGACCAGCTGCTCAAGACGGACGCATACGAGTCGGAGACGAGCTGCTGGAGGTGAGACCAGCTCAGGCCACCCGTGGTTATGTTAGGACATGATCGTACATTATATTACCAGCTGGTGGGTCTGGCCTGGGTTAAAGCCCAGTTTGGATTCTTATCATTTCCAGCAGTGTAGCTGTTTTATTTTTGTTGTTCCTTTCTACATGTTAGGGTGCAAGAATAACTCTCAGCAGCCTGAGTCAGCTAAAACTCTTCAATGTTTAAATGATTGTGAAGGATGCAGCCGGTGATTTTGCCCATGACTCTGGGTCAGAGCGGCTGATGGAACACAGTCGGAGCACAAAATCACCAGCCTTATCCTCATGCTGCACTGCCCATGCTGTACTGTCTTGTTGCTCTTCATGTCAACAGTTACACTTTATTCACTTTAGTTTACATATTTGAAATACAGTTTAGTGTTAGCCCAGTGGTTAAGAATGAAAAGGCTTAAAGAAAAATCATAATGCCATCATTTATTAACAGAGAGGAGTGGACATGCAGTGGACGGAGGGGCAGATGAAAATCATGGTTGTTTCAGATGTCTTGAATCACAAAAGCCTAGGCAAAGCTCCTGACAGCAGCCTGTACCTGCACCGTGTTGCATTTTGCATTCAGCACAGATGAATATTACTGCAAGATTCCTGTGCTTTTCACCTGCACCAGAACCATTAAGTTCTAAAATGTATCTTTTTCCAACCATTTTTTATTTGTTTATTTGTATATTAAAATTATGAATCATCCTCGAGCCTGAAACAGTCTGGGTTTTGTGGTTCAGCTGTCACCTCTTATCACAGCTGTAAATCAAACAAACATCTCATCATCTGCTAAACAACCAGCAAATGTTTGTCAGCCAGGAAGAGAACAGGTGTGTGTGCGTGACAGATGGAGGTTTCCAATTTATTAATATAAATATGACACAGTCTCTTTCTCTCCGTGTGCCTGTGTGGCTCGCTCGCCCTGCCTCCTCATTAGAGCAGCATCCGAAGCTCCGTGAACAGTTTATGTTCAGCTAAGGAAATAATGCACGGTCACAACACACACACAGCAAACGCACACAGCCATCTGCAAAGCTATGTGGAAAAATCCATGTGATCAAAGTGTGTGTATGTTTAGTGTGTGTATGACAGGTTCATGTATAACACAATGACACACACAGGAGCAAAGTAAGAAACAAGAATAGAAACAAGAAAATCTTGTTTCCTGTTTGGTTCTGTGTGTGTGTGTGTGTGTGTGTGTGTGTGTGTGTGTGTGTGTGTGTGTGTGTGTGTGTGTGCGCGCACATCTTATTGTGGTTGTGTGGACAAATGTTTGTTTTAAACCATTGCTGTGGGGACATTTCTTCACTGTGAGGATGTATGGTCTTGTTTGAGGGTTCAGACGTGGTGTTAGGGTTCACAGTAGAACCAGGTTTAGCTCGGGGTCCAGTTGTCATGGTTAGGGGCCAGGGGATGCATCGTGCCAGTGAAGCCCCCTCACAACTGCTTTGTTTTTGTGTGTGTGTCAGATTAACAACCAGGTCCTTTATGGTCGGAGTCACCTGAACGCCTCAGCCATCATTAAGAGCGCTGCCTCCAGGGTGAAACTCATCCTGCTCAGGTAGGACTGCACAGCATGCTGGGAAATTTAAATAAACATTTACACTTGTGTGAGGTGTGACTTTGCTGCTATGTCATATTTGATCTTGGTGGTGGCGGTGGGGGGCTTCTTGCAGGAGGCGTCCAGCTGCTGCAGCAGAAGGTGTGGTTCCAGCTGTTTCACTGGTTCCAGTGCTCTCTCACTCG